TTAACTTTCACACATTTCTTTGCAAAATTCAAGACATGCAAAGCTCCCATTGTATTGGTTCCTAGTGCCACATCATACCTTTATCACAAGCCAAAGACAATTAATTAATTAACCATCTAATTAGAGTGAAAAAACAATAGTAGCATCCACGACAATTCCATGTTCATCGCTTTTCAAGAAAGGGTGATGAAACTGTTAATGCATGGCACGCTTGCAAAACGTGCACATCACTGTTAATGAAACTGTTTCAAAACAGTTGTTCAATGTTTTCTTTTTTTAACAGTTTTTTTTCCTTATTCAATTGACAAAAGGTCCTTTTACATTATTTTCCAACGTTTTTTTCTTTTACCGTTTCAAGTAATTATTTAGTCAATTAATTCAATTGTCTGTTGGACAATTTATACACTATATATGGTACTTGTTAGAGACACATTAATTAAGATACAACAATTCTCATATATATATATATATATATATATATATATATATATATATATATATATATATTCTTGTTGCGTAGGGATTAAAATAGCAACAACATTTTTCATGCTTATTAGAGAGAAAAGTATAACAGTATTTTCTAACGAAGAAAAATAATCTTCTTTTTTTTCTAATCTTTCGCTGTAAAACTATATAATATTTATTTGTTTTATCTTTTGGTAAGAGTGGAACGATTATTTTTTAGAGTATCACATTACAAGAAAATAAAAAATAGCAATGAATTTTTTCGTTGCTATATAGTCTATATCCGTCGCTATTTAAACTTAGTAAAGGGTTTGCAACAATATACTTTTAGTAGCAAAAGTGGTCATCGTTGTTTTTTGAACGACAAATTTTTTTTTCCATCGCTAAATCAAAGTAAACATTCGTCTCTCCAGTCTATTATCCGTCGCAAAACCGTCGCTAAAATTTCTTGCAAATCTGTCACTATTTAACGACCGTATATGTGTCCATCGCAAAGATGTTTGATTTTTATTGCTAATTCGTCAACAAATGGAGAATTTTTTAATAAATTAATAGCTATTTCATGTTAATAGTAATAACAAACAACTAAAGATGATACTTTATTAAAACACGATATATTATTTAATAGAATTAAAATAATATAAATTGAAATCAAATACATATATAAATGTAATAAGGTGTACAAAAATATTAAAAACCTAAAAAAAAAAATTAGTCCTCATCATCTTTCGACTATTGGGTATTGAGAGGAATGATCGACTTCTAGATTATGGGTGGGTTAGCAAAGAGGACGCGAGTCCGCTATAGGTCCCGTAACATCCCCATCACTATCTACATCTAACTCTAGAGGGTGTTGAATTGATCGGTCTATTTTTGGATTGTAAGCTTCATCCACTTAATCTTATCTTTGTACTAGGCAGAAACCTCATACATATTACCATCGGGATATCGTGAAGTGGCAGAGAAGATGCCGACGCTAGAATGTAAGTAAAATTGGGATGCCCGTAATCTAAAGTCATACATTCTCTACTTCTTCTTCCCTCTTGCATTATTCATATATATATCTTGGTTATGTTGATATCCAAAGACGATGAATCACTCTCCATGTTACTCCTTTGCAACTACTTCTTGCATTGATCGCACATACTCCTACATCATTGAAATAATTATAATATTAAAGTATAAATATATATTTTTAGATTATATTGATAGATGTATATTTATAAAAATAAAAAATTTATAATTATTGTCCGGAACCGGATGTCGATGAATGACTCATTTTTTTGCTTGTGAGTGGTCACCAACAAATCTAGTCCTCATCATCAAAAGGAATGACTCGACTTCTCACAACATCACCATCATATCTACATCTAACTCTATAGGGTGTTGATTTGACTCGGTCTATTCTTGGATTGTAAGCTTCCCCTTAATTCTATCTTTGTACTAGGTAGAAACCTCATGAATATTACCATCAAGATATCGCGAAGTGACAGAGGAGAAGCCGACGTCGAATGTAAGTAAAACCGGGACACCTATAATCCGAAGCCGTACACTATTTGCTTCTTTTTCCCTCTTATAACATTCATATATATCTTGGTTATGTCGATATCTAAAGACGATGAATCACCCTCACCGTTACTTCTAGCAGCCTACTTCTTACATTAATTATACGTATTCCTACATCATTGAAATAATTATAATATTAAATTATAAATATATATATATATTTAGATTATATTGATATTAGTATATTTAAAGACGATGAAGCACCCTCCTTGTTACTCCTTAGTAATTGCTTCTTGCATTGATTACGCATGTTCCTATGCCATTGAAATAATTATAATATTAAATCATAAATATATATTTTTATATTATATTGATAGATGTATATTTACAAAAATAAAAAAACTTACAATTACTGTCTAGAACCACTTGTCGATGAATGATTCAATTTTTTGCTTGTGAGTGGTCACAAACAACTCGTAAGAATTTGGTTTATGACTCAATTTATTATGCTGAAAAAATAGATAAAATAATATGAGATGAAATAAATATAAAAATTAATTTATAACACCATGGATAATAGGATTTACCAAACGTTTAACTTGCTCAATCAAAGAGATGGACCTCCCCGTATGTCCGGATGAGCCAACACCGATATCATTCGTTTTCGACATGTAGTTCCGACATGCCTACCGAGTTCGGATCCGATTCTCTAATAATTTAAATTTTTTTTATAATTCTAATAATTAAGTATCAAAAAGTCATGAAAAATCTTTTTTATTGCGTCTAGTCAACAACATTACTTAAAAATGCATGACTTGATGTGATTGCTAACAACAACATTGTCATTATGTTGTATCATATTTAAAGATTGTATGTTGTAACGTGGCAATTGAAAATAATGTGTGGCAACATAGCAAATTTAAAGATTGTACTTTGATCAGATAAAATAAAATTTATTGATAGATGTATATTTATAAAAATAAAAAACTTACTATTATTGTTTAGTATCGCATGTCGATAAATGATCCTTTTTTTGCTTATGAGTGGTCACGAATAACTTGTAAGAATTTAGGTTACGACTCAATTTATTTTGTTGAAAAAATAAATAAAATTATATGAGATGAACTAAGTGTAAAAATTAATTTATAACACGGAAGATAATAAAATTTACCAAATGTTCAACATACTCAATCAAAAATATGGACCTCTTCGTATGTCTAAATGGGTCAATACGAACATGATCCATTTCCGACGTACGGTTCCAAGACGCTTGCGAAGTTCGAATCAGATTCTCTAACAATTCAATTTTTTTTATAATCCTAATTGTTTAGTTTCAAAAAGTCATGAAAAATCTTTTGATTGTACTTTCTAGCTAACAACATTACTTAAAAATTTATGACTTGATGTGTTTGCTAATAACAACATTATCATTATGTTGCATCAGATTTAATTAGGATCGTCTGTTGTAATTGGAAATAATGTGTGGCAATATAGCAAATTTAAAGATCGTACTTTGATCTTTGATCTGACAAAATAAAATTTGTTTAAAATCAATAATGATATTTATTGTAAGCTATTTCTGTATGTATGGCATACAAATATAATGGGTTAAAGATTCATAATATCATTTTACTATTTTATTTATTTTAATCATGTTTCTCTATTATTTTTTTCAATAATCGTGTCCGTCTATTTTTCATTTGTTCTTTAATTTCACTCTCTAATTAAATTTTTCGATAACTATATCAATTTTCAACGACAGATGCACATAAGGCTAACACATTACCTTTTTCTTCAAAAAAAAAAAGTCCCAAAATACCCCCTTTTTTTTCTCTACCTTGATATATATAAATAATTAATTAATTTCATCCTTCAATTTTTTATTTTTTATTTTTTGCTTTCTCTAGAATTCAAACCAAAAAAGAAATTTTTTCGTATGTAGAAAAGAACATAAGCAATTTTTTTTATTTCAGAAATTTATTATGAAAATTTATTTCACATCCAAACCCCAAAACAGAAAATTTTATGAAATTATTTTGATCATAACATAGGATTGATTATATTTAATTTATTTTAAAAATATTTTTTTATTAATCTTTTCATAATATATGTTTATTGTTTTATTTATTTATTTAAAAACAAAAAATAAAAGAAATTGGAAAAATTATAATATAAAAAAATACTAAAAAATTAGTTTTTGGAAAAAAATTAATTTGTTTTTCAAAACTAAAAAATATTAATTTATAATTTACTCTTTTTATATCAATTGGAAAGCATGAAAGGGCTCTTGTCTCATTACCATCATAATTATTTATGATGGCAATAGGTGTTTTTAATTATTTTTTTTCTTAAAAATGATGCAAAACATTAAGAAAAATATAATAAGAAAAAATTTCAGAATATACGTGAACTAAGATTAGTGAAATCGTCCTTAGATCCCATATCTTTTTGAAGTTTTTTCTAATAATTTATCATTTTTCTTTAAAAAAGAATTACGAACAACTCAATCCTACGAGGGCGTGAAACCTATTCTTAAAATATAAACTACTTATAATGCATGAGTACTTAATATTAGTAATCAAGTCTTCAGAAGTTAACCACCTGAAATTGGCAATTCTATTATCAATTATTTATTTTTAATCAATATTTTTATTTTTTTTTATAAATATATTTTCAGGCTAGGTATAAGTGGTCATGCCATCACGTAGTAGTGGTACATAAAAAAAAAAAAATGCAATCATTGGATAGGTTTCAACACGAGATGGCAACGTGGAGCACGAGCCCCTGATTACCCCTCCAACCGAACTTCAAAATCACTTTAAACAGCATGGCTAATTGGCACGTACGAGCTAGTTGACTCCATATATTTCAAGACAAATTAATATAAGTATTGAAATGGAATTTCATTAATTTGTCTTTATCTTATACATAATTGCCAATCATGCATAAATCCATTACATGTACGATCGAAATTAACATAGGAGGTCTTTTTTTTTTTTTAAGAGAGAAAATAATAGCTCAAATAATTATTACATCACATATTTAACGAGACCAGGAATGTGAACATTTATCATATAATCTTCCCAATCAATGTTCATAGGATCAAAATCGAAGACATTTGCTTCAAGACAGTTCTCTTTAGATGCTATCCGCAATCTCTCTGAATTTATGTCATCAAATCTGCGTAGAATAACATTTTATTTTTGTATTAATATAATTATCAAAACAATATTAAATAATTAACCAAATACCACAACTAAAATATTGAAGTGTACTTACATGCCATTGAAGAACACATAAGGTTTATATAGCTCTGCCAATCGCATCACCAGTTTTGCTTTTCTATCAAGACCCGTATACAGGTCTTGATATATGTGACATGAAATTGTGTTGAACAATTGCAATGCCTATGAATTGAAAAAAAAACCAAAACATATTAGTGAAAATTGATAATTAAATTAACATAATCAACTTTTCTTATAATTAAGATCAAGCAAAAACCTTCAATGGCAGGAGAAAACGAATGGCCATGTATGTGTAGAACTTAGACATACTGCTTAAAATAGTTACTCGGCTAACTTTCACTGGCTCTCCGTCCTTATTAATCCATGGATGTTCACCGAAGTAGGAAAAACTGAAGTCACGAAGATCTAAAAGTTTTAAAGGATTTCTCAATGAAGAACCCAAGTGATAAATGATCTCGGAATGTTGCTTGGCCCGTGCTACCATCGCAACAGTAATAGCATTCACAACCATGTCAGCTGGTATCTGCATTTCTAGGAAATGTTAGTTCCATGAGTTTAATAATTCTTTTAGGCCATGATCGTTTTTTTTTTTTAATATTTACACTGCGTATAAAGGTACTAATTGAACTGCCAGGCCACATCCTACAATTTGATTCACTTGTCCAACTGGATAATGATGAATGGATCAACCGATCCATCAACTCTTTAGCTGTACCAATCTTTTTTCTAATTTGAATGTTTACTCTCTAGTTTAAATTTTAAATCATAGGAGTTAGAGTTATTAATTTTTAAAAAAATTTATAAAAGGAGAAAGTGAGTGAGATCTCATTACGACGTCAAGAACCGCTCGTGGACCGGAAATAAAGCATGTAACTCTGCCTTTACCGTAGCCCGCAATTAGGCTATCAATGGTTCTGTTAAAGAAGCGGCAAGAAATGAGGTTAGTTTGAGATATGAAATTTAAGAAATCAAAATATAATTACACTTTAATGGGTGTTTTTATGTGTATACAAAATTAGTCTTTTTTACATATAATAAAAAACTTACCTTACACCTTCAATCCAACCCGGAAATGGTTCTTTGTAAGTACTAGCTATCATGGTGGGGCGAATAATAAGTAAAGGCAAATTATCTTTGAAATTTCCTAAAAGCATTTCTCCTAATGCCTTTGTAAATACATAAGTGTTTGGCCATCCGAAAAGCCTTGCTCTACAAAATCATATTAAGAGAAACGCATTAATTACATCACAAAAAAGAGTACTTTCCACCAAAACAGAAAAAAAAATCATTTAATCTCAATTTTTCGCTCTTACTAAATATATCATAGCCGACCAAATGGGGGAAAAAAAGGAAAAAGAAAAGAATACCGCTCAAGTCCAAAATCCTTCATAGCTGAAGTAATTTCTCTGTCTGGAACATCTTTTAATTTAAGTTCATTTAATGTCTCTTGCACCAATTTCTTTTCAAAGTTGACATCTATTTTGTCGTTCGCCTTTTTGGCCACACCCATGCGGCATGGTTGCTCTGGTAAAAGTCCAGCTTCTTCTCCGCAGACGTAAGCTGAAAGGGACGACATTTTAATAAAAAAGTTTACGTAAACAGATCAACAGAATTAAATTAGTTAATTAATTGCATGAAGTTGTGTTTGTTATAGTGGGCGATCGAACATTAAAAAAAATAAAAAATCAATCTATTGTTATTAAATTAGCATGGAATGCAACTATTTATTGTTTGTAGAAAAAAAAATTATAGAATCTATGGTAAAAATATTTCTTTTCAAAATGAGGTGAATTTATAAATTATCATATTGTTTGCTGCAGGTTATATGCACAAGTCTATGCTTATGGTTGAAGCAATATTTAGTTCTATATTTGAGTCTATTTGCATTTAATTATTATTCAAATCTATTTTAAGTATTTGTTATGGATTCGTATTTTACATGTAGCATGATAGGCTCTCACTTGTATTTTTTTATGAATGAAAATTTTCATTAAAGAAAAAAAGTGTTGTATTTGTTGATATATTGAGAAATTAATGAAGTCTAAATAATAATTAAATTACCTAGAAATCAAGGAAGCTGCCTAATTAAATTAATTGTACTTACCAGTAGATACATGGACAAGCATCTTTATTTTAACACATTTCTTTGCAAAGTTTAAAACATTCAAAGCTCCCAATGTATTAATGCCAAGAGCAACATCGTATCTTCAGAGTATACACAGGAGAAAAAAGAAGTTTATATTAACATTTTAATAAATAAATTTAAAAAAAAAAAAAGGAGATATAGTATAACCATAAAAAGAAAAAAAAAAGAAAGAAAGAAAGAAAAGAAAATATATTACAATAATTTTGTTTAATTACCTTTCGTCAAAGTTGGTGGTGGCAGCAAAATTAAGCACAACATCAACTTCTCTGCACATTTCATCGTTCTGAGAAGAGTCTTTCACTCCCAAGTCTTCAAAAGAGACATCACCGGGAACGGGAGTCACCTTTTCTGATATGAAGGAATGTAGACTTGCACCATGTTTCTCCCTTAGAACTTTGAATAAGTCCTTCGCTATCACCTATTCATGAAGTAAAATTAGCCCAAATAATCATTAGAATTTCAATCAATATTTCTCATGTTATTTCCAAATATTTTCATTCGATTATCATTTTAGGGAACAGTACCTCATCACGGAGACGTTCTCTAGCAGACTTATCATCTGCAGCTCTTAAAATAAGATAAAATTTCTTCACATTTGGTTGAACCCTCAATATTTTCTCCACAAAAACTGCATCCATTAAGCAAAATGGTCAACAATTTAATAAAGAAAAAAAATCTATATAATAAAAGGAAGAGAGAAGATGCATACTCTTTGCAAGATACCCAGTGGCACCTGTGACCAAAATGGTCTTGTTCTCAAGAAACTCCAGTATACTTCCCAATTCCATTAATTAGACACTATTTGATGTCAAAAAATAATCAAAGAACAATATTTCATGCACTTGTTTGCGTGCTAAAAGAGGAAGGATAGAAGGATAAATATCGAGTGAGCAAGATGACTCTCTGTGTATCTTGTTAGTGTTTATATAATAGTTTTCGTACCGACATAATGGGCACCAGTACAGACCAAACTCATCGATAATGATCTCTTAATTACATCACGGATTCAAATTTTTCTATTGTGAGTTAAGACAAAAAATTTTAAAATAGACACAAGTACAGTATTGACAGCTGTTCATACTTGGCTAGGAGCACAAATACAGTATTGACAACTGCTCATACTTAGCTAGGACAGCTTACCGACCAATTCTAACAAGCGTATGGGACAATAAATGATTTGATAATATATTTAAAATGGGTTTATTTCACCTGTGGATCAGTACAGTTTTAATTTTTTTATTCAATTTTTTTATTTATTGAAATCTTCTATTCTTCAAAAGTTTTTTATTCAGACCCTCCATTATGATGTCATCAAAAACAACCCATTAATGATTGACACGTGATATCATAAGATTCAAATAATAGTTTTTCTGTTTGAATTAAAAAAATAAATTTAAAACTGATTTTAATAATAAAATAATTCATAAAATTAAAAAAAAAAGAAGGTCAAATCATCCCCGCTCCATTATTTCCTAATCTAATTATTTTTTCTTTTGAAAAAACGTTCTCTCTCTCCTCGCCATTTCTATTTCGCTTTCTTTCTCAAAAAAATCCTAAATATTTCTTAAACACATACCCTAATTTCAACATACATTTTATCATTTCCTTTTTCATTTTTCACTCTCAGTGATAAAATTCATCAAAACTCAATTGCTACTCAACAAAAAACAATCAAAACTTAAGTTTTGTAATTTTCTCAAAAAAAAAAAAAAAAAACCACAAGCTCAAAAACCTAGTTTTTCTAAGTCAATCATTTCAATGGCTTGTACCAAACAAACAACAAGAAAATATACATAAGGTAAAGCCTCAAGGAAGCAACCAGCCACCAAACACAACTAGGAAATCAGCTCCAGCCACTAGAGGAGTGATGAAGCCTCGTCGTTTTAGGCTAAGAACAGTAGCCTTGAGAGAAATCAGAAAATACCGGATCGAAGACCATTGAGCTATTGATAAGGAAATTATCTTCTTAAAAGCTAGTAAGAGACCCATGAGAGGAGTGCAATGGGTGTTGATAGGAGACCTAGGAGCTAAAAAGCATGTTTGTCTTCACCAAAACTAGTTGCTTGATTTTTCTTCCATACAAAATGATGAGTCAATGAATGCCTCGGTTTCATTTCATTCCCAAGCAGGCATGGTATAATAAATACATATAATGTGAATATCACATGATTTTTAATCCAATAAAAATGAATGATTGCTTCTATTGGTATTATTATGAATAATCGGATCTTAAAATTTGAGTCTAGGAAAGAGAGAGAGAGAGTGAGGAGAGAGGATGGTTTTTTCGAAGAAAAAATAATAAGATTTGAAAATAATGGAGTGGGATGATTTGGTATTTTTCTCTTATTTTTTAATTTTATGAATTATTTTATTGATAAAATCAATTTAAATTGTTATTTTTTCAATTCAAACGAAAAAATTATTATTTATGACTCATGATGCCACGTGTTAATCATTGATAGGTTGTTTTTAACGACGTCATAACGGAATGTCTAAATCAAAAAATTTCGAAAAGTAGAGAGTTTCGATCAAGTTAAAAATTTATAAAAAGTCTCAATTAAAAAAATTGAAACTATACAAGGTTCAAATATGAGGTAAACCCTATTTAAAACTATACATAAAGTGCATGTCTTATTAACATGCAGATAATGTTATATTTAGAATTCGGATACTAGTTTCTTTTTGATCGATAGTATATAATATTACATAATATCGAACTCATTAATCTTAAATTATTCGTTCATTGAGTTTTGAGTAAATCATTTATATTTTGATATATTTATAAAAAATATATATACATATATATTTTTTCAATATTAGTAGATTTAAATCTTAAATAATAATGCATGAAACATATATGCTAATTTAACCAACTAGATTCTGTCTCCGTAGGCACCACCTTCACAATAATAACGTTTGAAAAATAACAACGGTTTGAAACATACTCAACTAGATTTAATTTCCATAAGCCCTACCTCCATAATGGCTTTAAATCACTATGCAAATGGTAAATATTTAAAAAATATGAACTATTTGTTCATGTGAGTGCATGAAACGATCTTCCCCACCCAAATTGAGTAGGCTGCAAGTTGCTTCCGACCACCATTTATTTTATAGCATTTGACACTGGATAAGAATTTCTCTAAGCACTTTATCGACGATCATAAATTCAGTTGTAAATGGGTTTACTTTCTATATAATCATAGAAGTTTAAAATCTATTGTTAGAAGAAAAAAGAAGATTTTATTGTCATTTTTTCCGTCAAACTTAAACAACATCTACTTGGAATTTGGAATGTGATGTGATTGATAACAATATCACTTTTCTAATCAATTAAAATTGGAAGGTTGTTGAAAGCAATTAATGAACTCTATCCAGCTTAGTGATAGTCTTTTAAGCCACGTATTGACTATTGAAATATCAATTCCTCCGCTCCGCTTGATTTAAATGCAGAGAAATTTGATTTTCGTGTGGTGGACAAGCATGAAAGGATTCTATTCTCATTATGGTTTTATTGATTTGTTCCAAAAATAAAAAATATCACTTTTATATATTGAAATTATATCATTTGTCGGTGGATTCTTGAGTAGATAATTTATATTTTGGATTAATAACATAAATATATTTTTATTTTTTTAATGTGATTCCATTATTTTTTTTTACATGACTCCTCTAACTATTTTATTTTGATCGAAGCTGACAATTCACATAAAAAAAGAATTTAATGACGACATGGTAAGTCAAATTAATTTGACACATGAGAAAAATAAAAAAAACAAAAAAATTATGAAACTACTCTCATCAAATATTTTCTCAAATAATTATCAGAAAAAGAGTGCGTATGATTTTAAACAGTGAAACACCTTAAACTTGCTTCTCTTTGGGTTTGGCTCATCATCACCTCTCTTCTTCCTGCACAGCTGTGGCACCTGCTTCGTCCCTGTCATTTAATCCAGGTGGCTCTAAGGGATCTGTTTGAGTACATTTTTATATTTTAAATATTTCAAAAGATTGACAAAACTTTCATGTCAAAACCTCTATTGCCAGTGTTGAAGTACACCAAAAAATCCTCTCTTTCTGCATCATAGTTCTTTGCTATGTTTTTTTTTATTTCTGCTGTTTTTGCCCTTGTTTTAGTTCCAGACGAAATAATATTCTTAAAGACATTGATTGCACGATTACAACCATAACTGTACTGTGGCTAGTTTTCTATTTTATCCACCACCTGATCCCTCACAGTTACTGAATGAGCAGGTAATGATGTAGCTAATGCGCAAGACTGCAAGATAGAAACTTGTGATGGCAGCAATATAACAAAATATATCTATCCACAAAAACAAAAAAGCACAGTTTCCATCATTCTCCAGTAAAAATCTGAATGAACTTTATCCAAATACACTCACAAGCAGAACCAATTTCATCCAGTCACCCTGATAAACAAGCTATTTAAACCTGAAACGAAAAAGAAAGAACAAAAAGGATTCATCACCAGCAGCTCCAACCCCAACTACTTCGAAATTGAGATTACTTAATCGGTGTAAGTACACTTACAAACAAATTAGTAATCATAAAATGTTAAACGAAGGCTGCTGACAATAGAAAAAGACCCAGCACCAGATTTCTCAGTAAAGATTTGTTTTGTGAAACCTTTTCGGCTCTTGCTTGGTTTTGGCTATGAAAAAGAATAAGAAAATTGCAGTAGCCTTGTAGGATCGGAAAATTCGAAAAATATGGGTTTGCATCAATTTTTATCCATCTGACGTGAGTTAGAAAAGGCAAGAAAAGGGAAGTAACTTTTTTTTTATGGTTTTGCAACAAAATATACATAATAAATTAACGTTACAAGTCATGTCATGTAAATTTTTTTTATGCGGATTGTCAATTTTGATTAAAAAAATTAGTTAAAAAAGAATTAAAAAAAACTACATTAAAAAATATTTAAAAATAAAAGAAGATGATAATTAAAAAATAAATTACAAGAGCCAAATTAAGAAATTCAAAAAAAAATTTATGCCATTAACTTTTGATATTTTAGTATACTTATAAAAATTAATTTTTTCAACATTTTACAAGATTTAAATCTTAAACAATAATGCATGAAACATACCTGCTAATTTAAGCAACTACATTGTCTCCGTAGGTACTACCTCCACAATAATAATGTTTGAAAAATAATATGGTATGAAGTACACTCAACTACCTCCACAATCATAACGTTTGAAAAATAATAACGTCAACTAGATTTAATTCCCGTAGGCACTACCTCCATAATGACTTAAAATCACCACGCAAATGGTAAATATTGGAAAAGCATGAACGATTCGTTCATGTGAGGGTATGAAAATCAATTCTTAAAATATAATAATGGTTACTTGTTTTAAGTAATCAAGTTATTCAAATGAAATTAAAAATTCCATTGTTATTTAACAGTTTAGCAGAAAAATTTTATCTTCATTCTATTACAATTTAAAAATTTTAAATATATAATATAAAATCACATAATTTGACTCTCAAAGTATTGGAGGTTAGACAAATGTAAATTAAATTGTTTAATTTTTGTTATGTGTAACGGTTAATTAGATTGACCATTATTTGAAATGTCAAAACGGCATCATTTTGACGTTCCGTTTCTAATTACATTTTTTTATAACAAAAATATTTTTAACCTCCTAATCATGATTTTTTTTAAAAAAATTTCTTATAAATTTTTTATAAATTATATAAAAAATATTTTATAAATATTTTTAGCCCTCCCTAATTTTGAATTTTTTAAACTTTTTTTAATAAA